CCACTTCTGATGCTAGCTTTGGCAGAAAAGTTCTTCAAGCGGCTATTTAACACCCTTGTTTATTCTTTTTTGCTGGGCTGGATCTTCGGATTATCCACCTACTCCTCTGTTTTGGACTGCTTTTGAATGTCCTTATGTCTCAAAATTCTTCAGAGCTGTGCCCCTGAATGGACCATAGAGAAAATAGGATTTTGTTCTTACCGTAAAATCCTTTTCTCTGAGACTATTGAGGGCCACAGCTCCCTCCACCTCATTTCCTTTTATACTGCTTACTACAACTGGCAGGTGTGAGTTGTGAGGTGTGAGGAGTTGTTGCCCTAAAGTGACATTTAATTTTTTGCCTAGCGTCCGTTCTTCTGAAAGCAAGAGAATAACCCTACGTCTCAGAATTCTTCAGAACTGTGTCCCTCAATGGACTCTAAGAAAGGGATAAAAGGATTTATAATAAGAATAAAAATTCTGTTTTCCTGTGCTTTTACCTGCAATTTGGTGACAGGGTCTCTTTGACGATATGCTTCATATATATTTTAAAAAAGAGGTTTGTGACAATGTAATGAAAGTGAAGCACAAAATCAGACTGAAGAATCTGTAGCTGATAAAGGTAAAGACAGCTATCAGAAGTCATCACAAGATGTTTACAGACTTCAAAGGTCACTGTTTGGTTCAGGAAAAGACAATAAACAGTCAAGGTATTACATCAGAATCCAGGGAAATGTTCCTGGACAAAGGTCAGTCAGGGCAGTCGTCAGACATAGCAGGTTAAAACCACATATATAAAAGTTATTTTGGAAGGTTTCCGGGGCATGTTCAGTAGAGGTCATAGTTTAGTCTGAATCCAGCCCTCCTGATCTTTTGGTACACTCCATAGTTTTGTTGCCACCTCGAAGTTTTAATGATAAAGTTTTACACTACAAGCCAGAACTCAGAGCAGCCTGAGGGGCCCAGGAACATTACATGCGTATCGGCCGTACAGGTGACAGGTGAGGAAGTGGAGGCAGCCGGGGCCCCTGCAGCACCGGAGGAGGCCGGGGCCCACACACTCCATATCCTCACCTGGGGTACTCCGTACGGGCCTCCGGTGTCCCCTCTGTCTCCACAGCACATTCAAATTTTAAAGATGGCGCTGTGAGTAGCGGTGGCCATCTTTAAACCTGGCAATTGCCTATATCCCATTTCATATATTGCCGAACCGGCAATATATTAGATGAAAATCATTCCTTGGTGGTCCAGTGGGGAATCAGTATGATCTGTATCTCTTGCTGATGCAGACTATACTGTTCGCTCCTCCATATTGTAGTGCTGCTGCTCACAGGCAGGGAGCGATTAGCATGGTCTGCATCTGTCAGAGATGCAGATCACACTGATCCTTCACTGGACCACCAGGCTATGCCCTCAGTGCCCCACTGGACCCCAGCAATGCAGACATCTTTTATTTATTTATTTTTATTGTTAATAGTTGTGTGAGTGTGTGTGAGTGTGTGTGTTTAATTGTGTGTTTTTTAATGTGTGTGATTTTTTTTTTTTTTTTTATGCAGCTATGTGTGTGTTTCATTATGTGAGTGTTTTTTTCTAACCACTTCCCGCGGGTTCACGAAAATATACGTCCTCCGCTGGAAGTGGTTATAGTAAGAATACGTACCGTTTTAAACAGTAGACGATTGCTGTTTAAATACAAGCGATCCAGCGTCTGTACAGGTGCTGGATCGCTTGTACAGTGCGGTGCTGTGTCCTGGGCCCGGCGTGGAGGGTCTCCCCTGGCAGATTGGAGGAGAGATCAGCGGCTTCTAGCCGCAGATCTCTCCTCCTATCACTGGACCCAGAAGTGATGTGCATTATATCACTTCCGGTGTCACTGGGCACATTCTTGGGCTACTAGCGCCAGAAGAAGAAACTGGTGAAGCAGATCTCTGCTTCATCAGCTTCTTTGGGGTCCCTAGGTGACATTAGGGGTCTGAAAGACCCCTGATGTCTCCATAAAGAGGACCTGTCACATTATATTTGCTATTACATAGGAGACTTGTTTGCCTACTATGCAATAGCAGTAAAGCTGAGTGTAAAAAAAAAAAAATTGTAAAAATTAAAGCAACATACAAAAATAAAAAATGCAAAACACATTTTTTTAAGGTCCCCTGCCCATTCAACACAAACATGTGTTGTATACGCCTACGTGCAAAAACAAAAATTGCGCCACACCTGTTATATATAGTCACGAGTGTCGGAGTGAGAGCAATAATTCTAGGCCCATCAATCACTGTTAACCCTAAGCTGATGAGCAGTAAAAGCGTTTAAAGCGTCACCTTTGGGAAATTTTGGTTATTGTAGTTTTGCGGTTTCAAGGATGCACACAATTTTAAGACTTGACATGTATGGTATCTATTTGCCCGGCGTGACCCCATCTCTTATATTTTACCAAAAAATTGGCATTATATTCTGTTTCTATGCACTAAATTCCATTTTAGTGTATTTTATCCTAAAAATACTTGTTTGATAAACATTTGCGCAAATACCGTGCAACATAAAAAATTGCAACTAGCATCTTTTTATTCTACAGGGCCTCTGCTTTCAGAAAATATATCATTGTTTGGGGGTCTGAAGCTGTTTTCTAACCAAAAATGCAGATTTTATCATGTGTGTGCAAATGTAAAAAATTGCTCCGGACAGCAAGTGATTAATGAGTGTATGATTTGTGTGCTATGTGTGTGTTTTAATGAGTATGTTTTATGAGTGTTTTAATGCGTGTGTTATATATGTGTTTTAATGAGTGTATAAATATTTGAATATGTGTGTTTCCCTACTTTGCCTAAGGCAGTGATACTGAACATTTTTAAACCCGAGCTCCCAAACTGCAACGCAATACTAAAGTTATTTTAAATGTTGGCACTTTGAGATACATAAATTGATTTTTGTGTGGCAGTTTGGGCACTCGGTTCAAAAACGTTCACCATCACTATCCTAGTCTGACAACGGCGCAGACGAGAGCCCAGAGGTGGCGGGGGAGGGGCCGTAGATACAGGGAGGGTGTATCTACAGCTGCACCCTGTGGCTGCACGAGGGATCGAGGCTGGGGGTACCCACTGAGATCCGGTCCCGGGCCCCTCACTGGAAGAATGGTGCCAACATCTGCCCCTGGTGAGAACTTTTTGGTTTTTAAAGTTTATTAGCACTGGTAAGAAAATGTATCATGTATAGTGGCAGATTGGGTTCATGTAAATATCTGATTGGTTGTTGGGGCAACTGTTTACTTTTCTTAGATTTTTTAAAGATTTTACAACCTGTTTAATTTTATGTTGTGTTATGTTTTATATATCTGTTGTATACTAGTCAGATTATATCGTTTGGTGTGGTTTGTAATAGACGTGCAGGGCAAACAAATTTGGTTCAGACGAAACAAATGAAAATGAGAAACATTTTTATTTGTTTCGTCAAAGGAAACAAATTTTAATGCCGGTTTGGATTTGGAGACAATGAGCCTCCAAATCCGAAAACACACAAAGACATTGCAGATCAAACGGTGGCCGTACCGGTCGCCAGCGTGTTCTGCGCATGCATGCCGCCATTTTGGAGTATATCTTGGTATACACCAAGATGGCGGAACCTGAACATGTGGGCGCTGCCATCTTTGTGTATGCCAAGATATACTCCAAAATGGAAGTGCGCATTCACAGAACACGCAGGCGGGCCGATATGGCCACTGCACATTTATGCAGGTGGGGCTTGTATATGGGCGGAGAACAAGGGGGACCCATTATCTTGTATTGCCTGGGGGCCCCGTGTTATCAGTCCACCCCTGGCTGGGCCCCAGCAGTGCTGATCCTGCAGCTTCAGCGGAGGCTGGGGCCCCAGCAGCGGCACAGGTGTACTGATCTCGGACCTGCGGAAGGGACATCACTCCACTTCCGGCCAGTCTGGCGGCAGAGGCCGCCAGACGTCACTTCCGGCCAGTCTGGCAGCAGAAGAGGCCCAACCAGCCCACCTGAGACCCCTGCAGAGCCCACCATAGAGAGTCTCAGATGAGCTGTGCAGCATGTATGGTGTGCTCTGCAGGGTCACTTTCAGGAGGGCTGTGTGGGGTCTCAGGTGGGTCCTCTGTCCAGCGCGTTACTAAGCCCTGTGTCCAGCACGTTACTAAGCCCTGCGTCCAGCACATTACTAAGCCCTGCGTCCAGCTTGTTGCTAAGCCCAGAGTCCAGCACAATACTAAGCCCTCCGTCCAGCGCATTACGGAGCCCTGAGTCCAGTGCGTTACTAAGACCAGAGTCCAGCACATTACTAAGCCCTGAGTCCAGCGTGTTACTAAGCCCTGAGTCCAGTGCGTTACTAAGCCCTGAGTCCAGTGCGTTACTAAGCCCAGAGCCCAGAGCATTACGAAGCCACTAGTCCAGTGCGTTACTAAGCCCACAGCCCAGCCCATTACGAAGCCCCAAGTCCAGTATGTTACAAAGCCCTGAGTCCAGCGCGTTACGAAGCCCAGAGTCCAAGTGCAAACACTTTCCTGTGTTTGCACGGCGCCAGCCATAGTAATTCATCACTGCGAGCACCACTTTTTTCTTATCTGGCCGGGACTGCTGTGAGGAGTGCGGAGGGTCTCTCCATCTACTTACAATTCATATACTGTTCTCCATTGCTGTATAAATGTATTGCTGGGATAAACTTGGTACTTCCCCCTGATGCCCTACTCAGTAATTCTGTTCACCACATTGATAAACCTGTGAAGAGCAAAAGGCAACAGGAAGCCATACATACACTTCCTAGTACAATCTGCACATTAGAACTCCCTGAATTCGGAGGTTCTTGGTGCACTCCTGAAGATAAGAAGACTATGTGGGTGCTTGCACTAACCTGCAGTTGTAAATTTATAATGCATTAGATAATTACAGATGCTGTTTTCCACCAATGTCAAAATGCTTGATGTGGACAATTTTATTCAAGAGTACAGGAGCCACTATAGTATATTAAAATTACATGTGAATGTGACTTGGCTTGTTTTCTTCACTTTGTAGTTATCCGGGAGTCGCCCACAGACGGAGTGAGATGGTCAATCCTAAGCATGAATGGTATCTCATATAGAGATGCAGGAGAATATCGATGTAAAGCTAAAAATTTGGCAGGCATATCAGAAGCATCAATAACTGTGATCGTAGTTGGTGTTGTCACTACAACATTAACACCACAACGATTTGGAAGGAGACCAGAAGCAGACCAGGTAAATAATATGCAATCAGAGGAAAAGGAAGAAACAGCTACAATCAGCACAATCTGGTCTCCAGAGATATTAACATCCACATCATTATTAACAGATGCAACAGTAGAACCCACCATAGCACCAACTACTGCTACATCAACCACAGTGAGAATTCTAGAAAGGAAACCACAAAAAACAAAGGGGCAAAGCCAAGCTGCAAACAAAAAGTTTCAGGTTGCAAATTCAGGCAACAAAGAAGAAGTGCTTAAAAATATCTCAGATATTACAGAAACCAACGCTGTTGTTCGTAATCTAAAGGTCACTACTGAGACAGAGGAGAGGGTCACATTAACATGGAGAACACTCAACACCACTAACAGCTCAAGTTTGACTGTGCTATATTCAAAATATGGTGAAGAAGGGATGCTAAGGTTGAGTACAGACCCTAGTAAAAATAAAGTAACAATTGATGGTTTACAGCCTGGAACAAAATACATGGCCTGTGTATGCCCCAAAGCAGCTCAGCCAAAGAAAGACCAATGTATCGTGTTTTCTACAGACTATTTGCTTAAGAATGAAGAAGAGAGCAGTTTCCAGATGACTATCTTAATCGTGGCTAGCAGTATAGCTTGTGTCATTGTTGTGCCCATCATTTTCTTCTTGCTTTACAAAGTTGTGAAACTGCAACGTAAACCGCAGTCTCCTAATGCAGAGGACCTTTTAAAAGAAACTTATGTCAAGTTTGAGACTTTGTCGCTCAGGCCACGATCCATACATACTGGAGGTGAACTGTGGACACGTAGAGACACAACTGAATCAGAAAGACTTCTTTTATGTTCTAGGTCAAGTATGGATTCTCAAGGAACTTTTAGTGAGGGATCGCGGCCGGAATACTACTGCTAACATTTATGTTACATTTTACAGGATTCTGTTTTGTTCTACAACTATTAATTGATGTGTCTTTTTTTCTGGATTTTAATAAACTACATTTGAAATTTAAAGTGTTTTGCTATTTTTGTGAAGAAAATGTTTGCTATATTTTTTTCATTAGGATAATGACGGCACAAAGAGAGGGGGAGCAATGCCAGTTCAAGGGTGCAGATGTTCCCAAGATTAGGAATAAACTTGACTGAAACTACCCTTGATGGACCATTAGGGCCACTGTTCATCATTGCTGACTTATGTCTCCCCTATTTATCATGTATGTAGACATAAGTTTAATCAGAACAGAAATTGGTTAGAAGGCATGGAGGTCAGCAATGTGTGTCCTTCAGGGGCTGCATACAGTATACTGCATACTAGTTGTGTATGCCATTTTCTTGGAGGCAAGCATTGTGGCTTTTATATATTCTACATTTCTAAATTTACCCAACAATATGTCTGCCCCCACAAAAGGCAAGTAAATTACATTGGCTGTTTTTGCTAGTAGGTTCCCCTACAACATCCCCTCCTTAAAAACCTTGAGGATGTAGTCACATCTATTGGGGATGTCACTGCACGTTAAGTTAATGCAGGCCATTCGATATGCATGGACTGCTGACGCACAAAAACAAAAGCACACATGTGCAGGTGCATGGCCCGCCCGCTTTATGACAGTGCACTGGGGTGCTATTCAACATGGCACCACAATGCACCACCATGAGGTTTGCATTTTGCCATATGTTGCAGTAACACAATTATTTGCAAGTTTAACTGTGAATGACCTTAAAGCAACAGTGTGAAAGAGGCCTTCATTTATTGATGCAGGGAGATGCCAGTGCTGATGCCTGCACAAGTCAGTAAGATGTTTTTAGTCCACTACTAGCAGCTGTACTGGCCCACAACACATACCGTGTTGGAAGCCCCTATTTAGCTTTAGCTACTTTAACGCTAACACTTCATCTTTAGTGTCGGGGGGGTTCACCTGAAGAAGTGTGATACTTACTTCTGTGCTAACTGCCTGCCCTCACACACTTTTTTTTAGTTTCTAAGTGCAGAGTAGTTTCAAAAAGCAGAGTCTTACTAGGGCTCATCCACATTTCAGAGGAAATAAAGGAGTATTTTCATACAATGTAAAATATATCTGTATTTCAGAACCCAGGAGCTGCAGTTGCTGCAGCTTTTTTGACCATAGCAATGTATGGACAAAAAAATGCTGTACTCCTGTCCATATATTGCTATAGACAGAAAAAAGCAGCAGCTGTGGCTCCCGGGCACCACAAATACAGGCTTATTTTACACTGTATAAAAATACGCCGGCATTTGCTCATTATTTGACACTGCTAGGGTTAGTGTGCATGGCATCAGGCTCAGGGGGAAAAAAGACAAATGCAGCATGTGTTCAGTTACCTTAATTTGAGACATTGAGGGGAATTTATCAAAACTGGAGCTGACAGAATCTAGAGCAGTTGCCAATAGCAACCAATCAGCTTCTCTCTTCAGTTTGTTCAGTTAAGATTTGAAAATGAAAGAGGGAAGCTGATTGGTTGCCATGCACAGCTGCTCCAGATTTTCTCTGTTCCAGTTTTGATAAATTCCCCTCAATGACTTAATTCTGACATTATGGGGAAAAAAAGTAACTTATGGCATAGCAAAATAGTACATACTAGGCTCAAGTCACAAAGCTTTAACACCAGCCTAAGGAACTTTATTTTCAGCAGTGTGGCCATAATTTTAAAATTTCATCGAGCTCACCTGAAAATAACTCACTTTAAAAAATAAAATAAAGATACTTATCCTGGAATGTTAGCGTTGAATTGGTTCAAGCTGCTTTTACCCAAATGATAAGAACTGGAGTAATGTAACGTAAAGTAAGGTGAACAAAGTTTCAGATGATCTACTTTAAAATTCCAATATTGCATTCCAAATCCCTCCCGACTGCTCTCAAAGAAAGATCAGAAAAACGCCTTTGTACACTAATTCACTATTGGCAGTTGGGAGGCAGTGATTGAGGTGAGGCAGTTAGAAGATCAGCAACAGAGGATGAATATTAAACCTTTCACAAGCAAGTCTGCACAAATATTAAAATATAATTTAAAGGATACCTTCCCCGAGTGGAATTTGGACCCTGCCATTGCTGACTTCTCCATCTACAAAGGCTAACTTGTAACGCCCTCTAGTTGTGGGTTTTTAAGCCAGTTCCCACACTGGGGTCTACTGAATAGTTTCCAGCAATGGAAGGTCTGAGACCCCAATTCTATCACTCCAGCTCCACACACTCCAGCCCATAGGCCATGTCAGGGAACACAGAGTCATAGTTATGAGAGGCCCCTCTGAATCAGTGCTTCCAAATCCAATATGTCAGGAACCTGCTAAACACATGGCCCAGAGTCACAAGTATTTTAGGTTGCAGACCCCCTACATGTCTGAAGGGTCACACTATTGAGAGTGTGGGCTCAAAGGAAGTAGGTTAGATGGTGCTGGCCATCACTCAACCTGGAAGACAAGCAGTGCGGGACCTTGGAGCGTTAAGTCTGAAGGGAACTCAGCAAAAGGAAGCATATTTAAAAGACCAAGTTTTTTTCTTTTATAGCGTAAAATGCCTGAAATAATAAAAAACACCAAAAACGCAAAACAAGCTGTAAAGGAGATATATAAAATAATGAAAAGAAAAAAAATATATATTTTTATTATTCTATTTTATATACTGTATTTTAATTTGTTATATATTTTTTTTATTTGTGACTGGATCTGTGTTTTTAAACAAATCCATTCACAGTACTGACCTATGAAGTGAGTACAGTGGTAAGTCACCATTGTCCTGCATCATCCTCATCACTTTTACCAGCTGACAGTCATGTGAATGGCTTTGTTTACCTTCAAACCCATTCTTACATTATGAATGTGTATGAAGATAAAAAAAAAAACATTCATACTAGCAATCCCTGCTGCTGTGTGTGTTGGAGAAGTCAGAGGAGCCAGGGGTCTGGGAGTGATCTGACTGAGACCGGAGTCTCAGGGAGACTGAGAACAGGGAGAGAGAACAGGGAACAGGGAGAGAGAAGCGGTTGGCGGGCAAAGAGGTGGCCAGGGAGAATGGCAGCAGAAAGGTGCATGCGATGGTATAAGCAAACCTGCAAACTGTTTCTTTACACAATTTGCTTATATAAGAGCAAGTCCTGATCTGTTATCATTTCTTGAACTATCTAGCTGGTGGCTATATTTACACTTAGTGCTCATTCATATGGGTGTGCATGTCATGCAGAGGCCTGCTCCCGCAAAGGAAAGGTACTGAAAGTAATTGGGTAAAGCCATCTGTACCTCCGTATGTGAGGACACTGCAGCATGCAGCTACATGTGCATATCCAGGTGCCCGCACTTGGACGCACAGTGTCTGCCGTATGGATGTGCAAGCCCCTGTGAATGAGGCCTTGTAAAAAAGTGCATACAAGAGCTCCTGTAGGATTGTAAACAACCCTGATTTCCAGACCTGCACTGGGCTCACATGCTGAGCACTGGTGGGCTGCAAAATGACCCCCAGAGCCCTGAGCTAAAGTGCTTTTAACTCTTGTGGGAACCCCACACCCCAATGTGGGGTGTGGAGTTAATACAATTGCATACAAGAGGATTAGAGGGGCCCTGCTTGTTATCACTCTGTGTCATTTATTTTATTTTCTATAGTGAAGAATTTAAAAAGTAAAAGGGAATTCAGGTCATGTATTTTATTCTTCATACTTTTAACTTGTACCCAGCACCTAGATATTCCATTGTTCCCCCAAAATAACAGAGTCCAAAATGTTATGCAAGATACAGAAATGGCTAAGTGAAAGTACGTCACTGGAAACAAAGGAGGTTAATGGACATATTTAGGGTATGCATGGCCAGAGAAGCAGATAGATGTTGTCATTGTTCTGCAGTACAATGTTTCTGCTGTGCTGCAAAACACCAGAGAACAAAGGATCTTCGTAGATTTTTGTATGTTCTTTCAAGAATGTATGTGGCAGTGTACACACGATCAAATGCATTCTTAATACTTCGCAGCTACTCAATGAGCACAGTTGTAGAGCAGAGAGGTTCACATTGTACATAACCTTTCCTTGTCCTTCCTTCCCTTTTTGAACAGCATAATCTGCAGCTGTGCCCCCTCACAAGGGTGTGTTCGGTAGCTAAGCTTGAATGCCAAGCTCTTGGATGTCTGTTACTTCCCACAGTGGCATTTGGGTCACTGTCCAGTTCTTTTGGCTTCCTTTGCAGGCAGCTGGTGAATGTGTCCTACACTGCTCAGGGGTCACACCATGTGATCAGCCTTGAAAGCTGAACTTGAAAGTTCTGTGTTACTTTAATGTCTGCTCACCTTTTACTGGAAAATCTTAAAGTGGAGGGAGAGGAGCCTTAGAACCCAGATAGGAATTCTGCAGAGCAGATGCTAGATGGGAGCTATGGAAGAAGAAATGTTGGCGATTGCAGCACATTCCCATACTGGTGTCATAATTTAAGCACGACAACTAGCTTAGAACTGCAAACACACCCTATAGTGCGTTCCCTTGCCCAGCTGGCTGACTATGCCTTTCATGTTGGACTACTGCTTTATGACTTCGTACTGCATAGGTAAGCTAAACATTATATCTCTGGTAGTAATATTATACATTGCTTTAATAATGCTATAATTAGATCTGCATACCCCAATTTAGTTAAATGTTGTGTGAGCAAAATTTTCATGTCTTGTCTCTTCAGGAGGACAGAGCAATTCTTATTCAAGTGATATTGCAGAATAGTGTTAGAAAGACCAACAGTCACCCAAGGATGTCTTTGGTGAGTATTACCTAAAGGTTTTTCAATTCAATTAAATTGGTGTTAATAAATATTAATGGGATATTACACATGAAATGATTAATCAAGCATATTTAACAACAAATATGTCAAAAAGTCAAATCAGCTGGGACATTTCAAGGGTCTTAACAGACCAGGGGAAACTATGGGTGCTCTTTTATGGAAAAATGGTGGCACTGAGTATAGTGTAGCAAATGAAGGGGTATGTTCAAACTTTGGCAGTGTTTTAAAGGGGTATGGTTAAATAGCTTATAAGCTGCGTGTTGCAGCCCCCCATGATGAATAAGGATTCAATTTGTGCTTCATAGTGCTCTACTCTGCCTCCACTTTTAAATAGATTTAAGGGTATGTAAAGGCAAAACATTTTTAGCTTGAGATAGAGGAGGAAAGGGTTAAAACTTCTATTATGTTATTTTGTGCTGCCTGTGTCCTGCTGAGGAGATTTCCCTTTACATTTTGACTAGGAGATGCAACAGGAAATGAGGGGAAATCTCTTCAAAGTGAACAGAATTCCCAATTTAGAGAGTTGTCATAGGAACAGGTGCCCAAAATGGGGGATTTATCTTGATTTCTTGCTTTGGTAACAACATCTGATTTTGCAATCCCCTCAAAGTTTACCAATAATTGTGTAGTGAGGGGGCCTGCGTGATTGGATATCAGTTCATTAGATTGATTGATATCAATTGATTAGATCCCTAAGAAAGCCATCACGCTACATAGTTTTTGGTAAATCTAAAGGTTGTTTTGTAAGGATTGTAATGCACGTGGTCAGCTTCAAGCAGATAGTTCCCTTTTTTAACTGTAGATACTTTAACTATGACCATCGTCCTTTGTTAATATTCACAAATATGTTTTTGCAAAGTGAAAGGAAATTTGTGAGCTGCCATTGCTGATCTTTTTCAAATGCTAATTGCCTGGCGGACATGTTGATTTTGGCTTTAATACTTTGTGAGTTGACAGCGAGGAACAAGTATGCAACACGTAAGGTCAGGGCTCCTGATGTATTTATTGAAGCCAATATATCTCTATAGCAACTAGGCAACAAGTATTTTCCATAGAAAATACCGTGGGCAATGACAGCCAACTGTATATATTTTTCTCATGACAGGTTTCCTTTAAAATAGCTTATGAAACCTGGTCAGTGACTTCTATGAACCTAGTTTCTGACAGTTTTATAATGTGTAGTCTAGCCTGCGCTTTGTTCATTGTAAGCAAAGTAAGAGGTACTTTCCATGTGTTCCCATACCATCTCAGTCTGCTGCCAGACCACGGATACTCAGTACTTCCATCTTCTCCAATGAGATAGTAAAACTGGAAATGGAGGCAGATACAAGGATGCTCAATGGATGTACAACATGAGGAGTGCTTTGATTTTTACAGCAGCTGTATAACATATACTAGAATGTCAAAGGTTTCCTATTGTGGTCAGAAAGTTCCACAGAAATGCTGACGCCCATGTGTCAAAGGCAGCCAGGGATGCCTGCAGAATAAAGCTGAACTCTGTTTTTTTTAAAAGTTACTGTTGCAGTGGAGCCTCCCTGCACTGCAAGGGTTAAATGATCATTAAAGGAGAACTATGAGGTCAGTGTTTTTCTCCATAGTTCTCCTTAGGGTAACGGGAGGACACAAACTAGCGTCCTCCTGTTACCCTAAGCTCAGTATACCGCGAGCTAGTCTAGGGGAGTCTAGGGGAAGTCTAGGGGAAGAGAAATAAGCTGAAGTAGTTACCTTACTCCTCACTCCTGCAGACTTCCACCATGCTATGTGACCAGTCCCCAAGAGCATCTTTGATGCTGTGGCTGAAGGTTGCACTGATGACTTTATCAAACATAATGCAGGTCCAGCAGTTCTGCATTGTATTTGAGGATGGCGAGGGCCTGCCTACAACCCAGAGTGTTGAGTTGAGTCGAGGAGAGCTCCAGCTGCTGGGGAAGTGAGGGATGGGGTAAACTGCATCTTATGTTGCCCCTAAACCAAAACAAGCATTTAACCATTGGTAATTGCAGCAAAAAAATAATAATTGCCATGTAAATGCAAACGTTAAAACCATGTTATAAACTTGTTGGAGTTCATGTACAGGAGAGCTGAGGCCAAGCTATGAACATTCAACTATTTCCATAGTCTTAACAAGTTGTAAAAATGTGCCAAGTGACCTGTCCAGGCACCCTAGAGTAGTTCATCCACAATACCCAGGGAGCCTTGAAGTTGAAAATGCTTGGTCCTGACCTTCTGCATCTCACTTTTGTTCACTGAAGCTGTCCTTTATAGTGATGGGCCTGTAGTGAGGCATGAGAGGTAGTAAACAGTGGGGTAAGCAATACATTAAGTGAACCTGTCTTAGGTAAACCTTGTATGAAAAAGCATTAAGGGCTGGTGCAGACTTCAGTGATCCCGGACGTGCGTCCTGGCACCGCGCGATCGTGTGCACACAGCGGTTGCCGCGCAGCCCCATTGATTTTAAACCATGATAGTGTGCAATTACACGGGTGGTATCGCGGCAGGAAACCGCACAATCTGCCTGGAGCAGCTGGGGTGCCATTAGAACATCGTCGGATGTTGTTCGGTTCCCGAGATTGCGCAGCCATCAGAGCGGTTACGTGCATGATTACCAGGAAGTCACGGATTGCCCAGGTGTGAACCTGGCCTAAAAGGTGCCTGCACTTAACGTAGCCACTGCCAGTCACCCCTATACCCATGCAAATACCAACCTTCTGAGTCCACAGAAATTTTGTGAGAAATTTTTACAATTAGCACTTCGCGACCCATGAATTGTACTGTGTGTCCAGTGCATCTGTAAGGATTTTATTAATTAGCGCTGTGCCTGTAACAGAAGTGTGACCAACTACAGAAACACAGCTGATAACATTTGTAAGGTTGTTGTAAGGGAATCTATATACAACCAGTGAACTTTGATTGCTGAATTAATATTGAAAACACAAAGCATGACAACCTGTCAGTAAAAAGATGATTGATCCAAATTCTTGGCTGATTTTGTATGGTGCTTCTTTATTATTTTATTCTTTGCCAATAATCTCTTTGTAAATGTCCATAGCAAAAGTATTTCTAAAGGCCAGTACATATGTATGGTCAGTACTCACTGAACACATGTACATTTTTTAAGAAATCCTTTATATCTTTACTACTCCTTCTGGAGGAGTTTTCAAGATTTGCTATTTGTAGAAACATTAATATGTCAGACTAATGCTATTTGAATGATTTTTCAAAAGCACAGGTAAGCCAGCAAAAAGTTTCCCTGGTTGCGTTTCGGATGTTTCGTTATTTTGTTTTTCGGCATCCAGGTCTGAAAGTCAATTAGTTTAGTTTATTTCAGATGAGTTAAATGATCATTACGAACGAACATTCCTTGCAGAAAAGTGACATTAAATGTTTACTTTGTTTCTTTTTAATTTCTGACACTCCACAAAAACAAACAAAAAAACAACAAAGTGGGGTTCCCCCCAACAATTCATAGCAGACCCTTTAGCTCTAGTAGGAATGTTAGGGGGACCCCTGATGTAAAAAAAAAAAAACTGTGCGGTTAAATTGGTAGCAATTTATACCAGACCCTTTAGAGGAACTCCAATGCCAAAAAAATGAAAATAAAAGTGGGGTCCCCCTACAGTCCCTTACCAGATCCTTAATCTGGGCAGGGGGGGGGCGTCCCCCCTCCACCATACCAGGCCACATGCCCTGGTATGGTGGAGACCCCCTGAAAAAGCCCCTTGTCCCATGCCGATGGGGACAAGGGCCTCTTCCCCACAACCCTGGCCCGGTGGGCAGGGTGGCTCATCTGCATCTGGGTAGAGCCCTTTCATAACCCAGATGCTGCCCCCACTTGTGAATGAGTAAGGAATACTTGTACCCCTACTCATTCACTAAAGGGTTAAATAAAATGTAAATTTTATTAGAAAAAAATCCTTTTATTGAACAAATAACACAATACAAGTTTTTCCACAATTCCTTTATTTAAAAAAACAAAAAGACATCAGGCAGGTGGTGGAGCAATTGCCAGCCTGCTATTGGCTTTTGCACTTTAATAGCCAATAGCAGAATGGCTGACTCCCACTGCCTTCTGTCAGTTGACAGAGTTCTCTTTTCAGGTCCATTAACTTCCCTGGCGGTCTGATTATTTATAAATTTTTTCCTTTTTGTCCTATTTTTTTTTTACTTTTAAAATTCCCGCCGGTTCCGCCCCCCTGCGACGCGGACGTTTGCAAGGGACAGAGTCCGGAAGACGGATCCTGGCATCGGAGGACACAGCGGGGATCTTAGACAAGGTAAGAGATGCTATGCTGTAATCCCGAGTGTGGCTCAGGGTTACCGTTTATGGTACTGAAAATGAACCCCGAGCCACACTTGGGAATACCGCCAAGGAGGTTAAGGTGCAATTTGGGTACCCGGATGCAGGTGAGCCCCCCTGCCTGCAGACCTCCACAACCACCGGCCCAGGGTTGTGGGGAAGAGGCACTTGTCCCCATCGGTATGGGACAAGGTGCTTTTTCAGGGGGTCTTCCCCTGGAAAAACACCCTCCCTATGCCAAGGGCATGTGGCCTGGTGTGGTGGACGGAGGGGGGGGTGCTTGCTAGTCCCCCTCCTTTCCTGCTCTGCCAGGCCGCTGCCTGGATTAAGGGTCTGGTATGAGATTTTAGGGTGGACCCCACGTTTTTTTTTTTTGGCGTATGGGTTCCCCTTAAAATTCCTTCCAGGCATAAAGGGTCTTGTATGAATTGCAGGGGAACCACACGCTGTTTTGTTTTTACATTGGGTCCCCACTAGCATTCCTACCAGACGTAAGGGTCCCCCGCGCCGTTTTTTTAAATTATTATTATTTATATAGTTACATAGTATTTGAGGTTGAAAAAAAAAGACACCGGTCCATCAAGTTCAACCTTTGTGTGTGTGTCCCTTGTGCGTGCATGTGTGTATAAGAGTCCCTGTGTGGTCTTGCATTCAAGTGTACCTGTACCCCTTTATGTTATGG